AAGAAGAAGAAGAAGAAGAAGAAGAAGAAGAAGAAGAAGAAGAAGAAAATTTGCTTCTTGGAAACTCCGTCTTCTTCCTCAAGGAAAAAAGACTTCCTTAAACCTCCTGAAACATAAACATTTAATCTAAGCATTCTTTAATTAAACAACATTTAATTAAAAGTTAAAGGCCTGGAGACTAAAACATAATGAAGAACAGTTGCAGGAATTGGGTATGGCTAGGCTAGAGTAAAGAAGGACTAGGGGTGACAGGATAGCAGTGTTCCAATATCTCAGGGGCTGCCCCAAAGAAGAGGGAGTCAAGCTATTCTCCAAAGCACCTGAAGGCAGGACAAAAAGCAACGGATGGAAACTAATCAAGAAGAGAAGCAACCTAGATCTAAGGAAAAATTTCCTAAGAGTGAGGAAAATTAACCAGTGGAACAGCTTGCCTTCAAAAGTTGTAGGCGCTTCATCACGGAAGGTTTTTAAGAAGAAACCATACAGCCATTTGTCAGGAATAGTCCAGGGTCTCCTGCTTGAGCAGTGGGTTGGACTAGAAGACCTTCAAGGTCCCTTCTAGCTCTATTCTATTCTACCTTAAAACATCCTTAGCACTGTCACCAAAACAGTCCAAGATAAGGAGAAACAGAAGAACTGATACTTCTTGCTTCTTTGCAACGCCTTGCAGGTTCTCTTCCCCTAGCCACACCAGAGATACTCTTCGTATCCTCACAGTTCAATCCAGGAGGGTCTCTAGTTTTCACAATCCTTCCTCATTTGACATGCCAGAGCAAGAAACATTAATCTTATGCAAGGACGGAACAACGACAAGCACAGAGTCCAGGGAAGAAGACGGAAATGCCAGATTCCAACTCACAAGAGTTTATCTTGTTGTCGTTGTTGTTTTTGCTTGAACATAATGTATCCTCGGACACAAAGAGCTTGAAGTTTAAAATTATGCCTGGGAGAGAAGGGCAACAGGGATGGGAAGAAGATGTAAATGCTGGTAACTGAGATCAGGAAGCCACACTGTTGTTGGTTGCTGCTGTTGTTGTTTTAAAAAGAATCATTAAGGGACTACGATGTGTTACCAGCCTACGTTTCTTCATAATGAGTCCTTTTCTTCTTCCAATGGCCCACTCTTTGCAGAGTGTTTCCAACAGGTCTCCTATTTATTTGCTTACTTTCCCCTCTGGAGCTGGTGAAAAGTATGAATTGTAATGATTCAATAAAAAGCTCATTTGCTATTCTCCTGATGCATTAGAAGTTCTAGTGCATTTAGTTTACTTTGGTGAGCTGGTTGAATGCACAGGCTTTATAGGAGTACGCTGATAAAAAGGCAGGAACATTTTGCAATGCTTGAAAAAGTTTGTCAGGCAAATTAATTCTGACAGAGGACTTAGATTAACACAGATGGGGCTAAGAGCAATCTTACTAGCTTAGGATGTCACAATTGTCTTCACGCATATCGGAAACGACATCTGTGCACCTGGGAGAGGCCGACGAGGAGTTGGGGTGGGAGAGAGAATTGTGAACACTGGAATTAGAAGATCTTATTTTATGTGCCTTGTTTCCACTGGTTCTATAACGCAGAGCCTTCAATGCAACTCCCTTTTTATAACCCTGCAATTCCTTAATTCAGGGTACAGTCAGGGCGACTGGATGGGGCTGAACATTAGAGCCTCCAATGCAACATTATGGGGCATCTTTTAATGTCATATTTGAAGACGCTGAGAAATACCTTCTTAACATATATCATATATCATAATAACATATATATCATATCATATCATATCTATCTAACATCTCTCTCTCTCTCTCTCTCTCTCTCTCTCTCTCTCTCTCTCTCTCTATCTATCTATCTATCTATCTAATTTTCTGTAAGTCACTGAGAGTGGATGGCCATATAAATTCTCTAAATAGTCCTTGATTTATAACCACAATTGAGCCCAACATTTCTGTTGCTAAGTGACACAATTGTTAAGTGAGTTTTGCTCCATTTTATGACCTTTATTGCCACAGTTGTTAAATGAATCACTGCAGTCCTATTCTGTACCACTGCTTTTTTTAAAAAAAAAATCTAAGGTAAAGGGTTCCCCTCGTACATATGTGCTAGTTCTTTCCGGCTCTAGGGACCGGTGCTCATCTCTGTTACAAAGCCAAAGAAGAGCCAGCATTGTCCGAAGACGTCTCCGTGGTCATGTGGCTGGCACGACTGAATGCCAAAGGCGCACGGAGGAACGCTGTTCCCTTCCCACCAAAGGGGTCCCTATTTTTCTACTTGCATTTTTTACATGCTTTCAAACTGCTAGGTTGGCAGAACCTGGGATAAGTAACGGGAGCTGACTCCATGATGCGGCGCTTAGGATTTGAACCGCTGAACCGCCAACCTTTCTGATCGACAAGCTCAGCATCTTAGCCACTAAGCCACCGCTCTACAGAGAACAAAAATAAAGAATAGGCCTGATTACACACTTAGATACTGAATGCAATTTCTTTTCATTGGCCTTTACAAATGGGAAGAGAAACTTCTCAAAAGCTTGTTGTGTGTAATCCAGAGGGTCTCAGTTAGATGACAAAATGTTTGCTCAATCTTTGATTTTCTTTTCCAATTAAAAATGTAATCTAGCCCATATCACCAGCTGTGGTACAAGAGCAAAGAACACAAAGTATTGCATTTGCCAAGCGGTTTAGAGATTAGAACTAGATCACCTTATAAACATTCATTTCTCCCTCAGGCAAGGAGAAAAAAAAAAGCACAATTTCTTAAAAACACTCCGGGAAAACAAACACATAAGCAAGTATCTTGATCCTCTCAAAAAATAGAGGCCAAAGGATGTTATTTTCTTTGCACCTGGTTTACTAGAGTGTTTGCTAAACTGGCAGAAGAGGCAAATCAGAATTAAGAATTACCAGCAAAAGTCCATTACAAAAATTGCAATTTAATTTCTAATTTCTTTGTTAATATGAAGAAGGAGATAATGATTAGAAAGGACTGTAGTGCAGTTCTAAAAATGGCTGGAATAAATGACTTTCCAGCATTGGCAGTAAAAATTTCTGGCAAATATGCTCAAAAGGTAAGCAATTAGTACAGCCAAAAGGGGAAAAAAGCTATCCAGACACTTGGCCACCTAACCTCATTTTAAAAACAATCTGGGATGAAGATTCTGAGGTGCCTTTAAGTTCTTTAAAGGAAGCCCTTGAATTTTTAATTGCAAAATTCTTCTGTAAATGTATTGATACCTTAAAGCTACAACTAATATAGATGAAAATCATCAGGACAGAATTTGTAAATTCAATTTAAACAACTCAGCTAAAGAAAACAAGCATAATATATATAGACCAACTTATTTTAATAAGAATGAAAGACATCTGTGTAAGAATACAATATAAAGATATTAAAAGTCTGTATATTGTGCCTGTGTGTTGTTTTCTATTTATGGTTCCCACTTGGAAAGCTGAAGCTATAATGTAGACTAATGTAAGATTAAGAGTAATAGCTTCCTTAGCTTATAAAGGAATATATTGCTGTGAAATTAGGGTGGTTCTTTTATTGCAACTAGGCACCGTTTCATGTACCAAAGATATATCTCACTGCAGAAATTAAGCTATTGGCTTGGACAGGGCTCACAATTACAAATAACTCTGCTGTAACCCCATTTATTCATGGCGCCTCTCATCACCCAGGTGGGATTTTCAAAGAAATTGTATAATTTTATTTTTATGGATCTTTAGCTATTCTTTGAAAAGAGGGCAGTTTTCTGGAAAAAAAATGAAAATCAGTAACCTGAGGATTACAGAATGCGGAATCAAGCTCTAACACTGAGTATATCCAACAACTAGGATGAAACAGCAGATAACAGAATGGCGTTTTAGGGAGGCACCTGGTAGAAATTCTGATTAAAGCAGTTTAGGTACAGCCATATTTAGAAACGCTCACCTCAAACCTCTCTTGTTCCATTCGGTGTTGGTCATCCAGCTGCTGTTCCAGGTACGTCAAGTTACGAAACTTCTCCACGTAACAGCTATATTGTTTCTGCAACTCCTCTTCAATTTTCTCGTATTCATCCATAAAGGCTGGGCTGGTAAGGATGAAAAAAGCTGGGTTTCATACATTGCAGTAAGCCATGATTTATTTAATCATGATTTATTTGTTATAACTAGCGGGGAGAGAGCCTGGCTGACAAGCAGCCCCCAATTCTTCATTGCCCAACATTAGGCTGATCTGTCCCAAAGGCAGGAAACATGGCTGGAGTTCCTGGGGTTTATGTAGTTGAAGCTCCAATGAATTTGCAGGTTGCCATCAGCTGCTAGAAAAAAAAAATGATTGCTGAAAAGAATCCATTTTTTTAAAACAACAACATCATTTGTGGTGGGTTTAAAAGTCATTACAATGAAAAGCTTAAGCCAAAATGACTGAGTAAAGCTCGAAGTAGCCTATGCTTGTTTATTTGGAAAAATGGTAGCATAGGACAGGACAAAAGACAAGACAAGATATAAGATGCGATAAGGCAAGATGAGTTGAGATGATGAGATGAGATAACCTTTATTGCCTTTTTTTATTGTGAGCACACTTGCACATATTAATTTTGATGCCCAGTCTCAAAAGAAAAAATATATATACACCCATACACCTACATGCACACACATATACATATGCTACACACACACATCTATCTATCTATCTATCTATCTATCTATCTATCTATCTATCTATCTATCTATCTGTCTGTCTGTCTGTCTGTCTGTCTGTCTACAATCTCTGTCTCTATATGTCTATCCTCTTTCTGTCTGTCTGTCTGTCAGTCTATATGTATCTGTATATCTATAAATATATCTATCTCTCTATTTCTATCATCTCTCTATCTCTCATCTGTCTGTCTCTATGTGCCTATCCTTTTTCTATCTATCTATCTATCTATCTATCTATCTATCTATCTATCTATCT